GACCATCATCATATATATTCAAAAGAAGGAGTTGTAGGACCTGAACTTGTTGAGGGGGAGGGGTCATCATAGGAAGCAAGATAAGGCTTTTTGTACATGAATAGCTTCTTTTTTCTAAATGGAGATGACTCATGGGTGTGAATGCAAAGATGCATACGTTTTCCTGAGAAATAATGACCATATTTATTCGTTGTTCAATATGTGTGGTCGTTTCTCCTCCGCTCTCCTAGGTTGTTCTAAGTTATTGTTATTGCTGAATTGCATTTTTACAGGGATGAAGGCGTGTGGAGATAGATTTTTCTTAGATTACACTTGAGAATACTGTGCATTTTTATATAAAATGGACCACAAAGTAAAGCAGTCATTAAGGTTAAAAAGAAAATCGGAATTTTTAAATGAAATTGATGCTGGCAAATCAAAGAAGACTGTAGTAGCTATAAAATACGGAGTTACTCAAAACACAATATCGAAGATTATTAAAAATAAGCGTAAAATTGAAGCGGCTAGGAGTATAAAAAAATTTCAACCAAGCAGAAAACGATTGCGAGTGGCGAAAAATAAAGAAATCGAAGAGGCTTTGTTCCGATGGATTTAAGAGGCGTGAGATCAAAATCTCATTCTTTTTAGCTCCATTTTCTGCACGTTATTTTGCGGATGCTTTAAATGATTTTAGGTGTTCTTCGGGATGGCTGCAAAAATAGATTTGAAGTAATTTGTAAAGAAGTGAACGTTTCTACAATGAAATTTCGTATTTTTCATATTGAGATCTAACTAAATGACGTCACTAAGTAGCGATTGCATGGTTCAATTTTCGACATTTTTTAAAAATTTCTCAAAAGATACTAAGCAAGATTTCTGGTATTCAGTTCCTGCAATTTTTCTTGCTTAGCAGTAAAATTCAAAGCTTTCAGACTTTTAAGGGACCGACAGAAGATTATGAAGGGAAACAAATGTTTTTGAGCACCCTAATCCAGAAAATCAAACAATAAGCTTGTAACTTGTATCGTTCACTTTGGTTGTTATTTTCAATAACTTGGTTGTTATTTGCAGTAACTCATATTTATCTATGAGCGTTGTTTGTCTAACCTTTTTTTTCCTTCTATAATTGTAAAAATATTGAATAAAACTAAAGAAAGCAATTTTAGCGCAAATTAAAATTAATATCGAAATTATTGTTTTAAAATTTGAAAAAATTCGTTAGAAACTGCACAAGGTTTATCTTAAATAGTTTGTTTATTCTGCGCATGCACGAAAAAAGTTTAACAAATAATTTTTCATAATTTTGTAGTGAATCGTATTTGGTAACTGATAAAAAAAAAGTCTCAATTAGTTATCTTAAAAATTAAAAAAAATTCAAGACATTTTCTAAGTAGTCTTTGTACTTTTAAAAGAAAGTTCAAAACGATAAGGGAATTTTAACAAATTTTTTTATAGGCCATTTTAAGGACGTCTATTTTCCGAAACTACAAAATAAAATTTGCGGAAAACTCCTATTCATTTTTTTCAAAATACAAAAATTATTTAAAACTAAACTAAAACTTGCTTGCAACTTTTGAAATTTTGAAGATATTAAAATCAGATTTGTTTCATTAGTTGCGAAATAGAAATCACTGCAAAATTACATAAAAAAAACTTTTTAATATTTCCAGGCATGCGTAGTATAAAAAAACTACTTTAAATGCTCATAGTTTCCGCAGTTTTTAACGAATGTTTTCAAATTTTAAAACATTAATTTTGTAATTATTTTTTAAATTGCTCCAAATTCTTTTTTAATTTTATTGAATATTTTAAAATTATAGCAAAAAAACCAAAATAAAAAATTTAGTTTCTTTATAAAAATGTATTTTTCTCCCTAAATATTTAAGCTAAGTTTACTTAAGGTTATGCGGGTATTGCAATAGCAACCAAAGTACAAATTACAGGCGTATCGCTTGATTTTCCGGCACATGGTGTTCAAAAATACTTATTTTCTTTCATAATTAATTAATTGTCGGTTCCTCAAACCTCTGAAAATTTTAAATCTTATTGTTAAGAATGAAAAATTGCATGAACTAAATAGCTCTAAAGTTACAAAATAATCCAACTATTTTTTGTGA